TTTCCCCTTCCTTCACTGCGTAAGAAAGTGGTGGTGTTACCTCCATCTTTCTTGATGTTCCTTATGATTGCAGTCAGGTAGGATTCCTTTGTGGACATACCTGCCATTGCATCTGCAAATCTCCTGACAGATTAAGACTTTTGGAGAATAGATCACTGGCATCTCATTTGAGACAAATGGTTACACTAGCGCTCTTCAGTTTTGGACTGAAAACATTTTTTTGTCGCTCTATATGTAAGATCAAACAAGAGTTAAGTAAGTGTCATGGCACAGGCAGAACACAACAGCTATAGAACGCATTGTCAAGCGAAAGCACACAGTGGCAGAGATGCCACTATCTGTCTGGTGTGAGCACTAGATGCTGTCTGTATCCACTGTTCCTGGCCAACCTGTAGTCTCTGTTGTTTCACTTGTTTGGTTGAGAATACCAGAAGCCTTCCTCTCACCCTGCCTTCATTATTACCTCTTTGACCAAATTCTAAGAAGAATTATATTTACTCATCATGGATTTGGGGATCTTAAATAGACTGACATATCACTACATTTGATTATACATTGCTGAAATGGATGTCAGGTCAGATGCTACTACAGAATAAAGCAGAGTTTTGCACTTCAGGGATCTATTTGCGCAGTTTCTATCCTGAATTCAACTAGTAGTTAATATTTACTAGGAAAATAAAAATTAAAAAAAAAACCAAAACAAAACAAAACACAACAAAGACATATGTGTGGGATAAAAATAGGGCATGAGAGGAAGAATTAAAAAATAAAGGAAAAGTGTGCAAGTAGAATACAGTAACTTGCTGAGTTTAAACTGCAGCTGGGAGTTAAATGTTGGCTGAAAACCCATAGAAACCTACAGTTAAAACACTTTTCTATCCTCACTGGTAGAGCAGACAATTAACTGGTAGCAGTACATGGATTAGGTGGCCCACAAGAAGTTTAAGAACTCCAGATAAATCCCCCATGCTGTCAGTTTTGTTCTCCTTGAGGAAAACATCAAAGGCTTCTAGAATGCAGTGCCTAAAACTCATTATATAATCCATTAGTTTCACAAAAGACAACTGCCCCAACAAATAGCTGTATTTCACTGGTCTGAAATTGAAACAAAAATGGAAGCAGGTTTTATTCTAATTGAGATTTTTGACCTGGATATGTTGGCCATCCAGAAGCTTTGCCATTGTGCTTTAAGAAGTTTTTTAAAAGATCTCCAGAAAAACACCACCTTATGTGCTTCTGTGGTGACATACTGAAGAAAAATTTTCTGAAACCAGTGAGAATATTCACTGCAATGTTAAGAAGGAAAAATTTATGTCTTCATTTCAAGAGAGCTCAAACAGAACTTGAATTTTCCCACCACTTTGCTCCTCTCCACAAAGACAATCATCTCTACCTTAGCTATTTGTGTTATGCTTAACACATCCAGGCTACAGTGATATGGGTTAAAACTCAACACATCTAGGCTACAATGACAAACTCACTGTTAAAACTCACATGATACAGAGTTGACATCCATGTATTCAAGAATGCCTTTTGCTGGTGCTCCTACCTACCTAAATATCAGTATACACAGATGCCAACAGTGAAATATCTGATTTTCTGACTCACACAGGGATTGGTTTAGAACATAACCACTACCATTACAGACAGCTAGGCTGGCTCAATCCGCCATACTATCTTAACCATTGCACCAATGGCAAGCCTAAAACCAGTCTGGAGAAAAGCAGCAAATACGTAGTTTTAAAATGCTGTTGATACTTCAGAATATCAGCCTCCCAAAATAACTGGATTCAACAGAATAACATTCTATTGAGTCTCTTTTCTTACAGTCTTCTGTGTTAGGCTACCCATTTGCTTGTTGCGCCACTGACAGTCTCCAGCTTGATATGAAAACAAGTACGAAGTACGAATAATATCAAAGAGAGAATATTCCAAGTTACACTGGTTTGTGTTGAACCATCACGAATCTCAAAAGGTAAGGAAGAAAATTTCTGTTGCCTGGCGAAAACTACTACACTGTCTGATAAAGTTAGTGTAAATCTTAAAAAAAAATAAATAAATAGATTGATTAGTGAGATGCTTTGCAGATGTTTACTGACTTACCTTATCTTGGGAGAAATCTATCAAACCCAGGAGTTGGAAATCTGAACAGATATGCGATACAATGCTCATAGTGTCTAACTGCATTCAGAGTTTTTCAGAAGTGTTCTTGTCAGTCTCCTAAGACACTTTTTTCCTCCTGCAAACATTCTTCCCCTGTATTACTTATCTTAGTCTTGAATTTTAAAAGATTCCGCATATGCACAATGAACACAAAACCAATAATTTTGCAACAGTAGCTATATTCTCAACACAAAAAAGTAGAATTTCTCTCCATTCTACAGATCCAATGACTATGTTCAATCTATTTTATAGATTTTTTTCATTCTTGAGTTATTTGGTAGACCATGCATTATTATAAAATTCTTCGCACTCAGGTGATGACACCAAGCACTGATTTGATGTAGATGAATGGAGCAATTTAAAGATGTATAATTGCTGCAGGAAAGGAGGGAAAGGAAAATGTACTAGAATACTCACTTTGATGAATCTATGAAGTATATTACAAGAGCACCAATACTAAGAGCGAAGACTAAGACAACCTACAAAAGAAAGAGAGAGTCATTATTTAATAGTGTTAAAGCAAAACATTTCTTCTTTTACACTAAAAAAAAAAAAGACAGGAAAAATATATTATAAACTTTTTTTTTTCAGCTGTCATTTTCTTTACAAAGCTACTCCTACTTGAATTTCAAATGCTATATATTATCATAACATGCTGTCTTGCATTGAAAAAGAGACACAAACAAGTTTAATCCTAACTCAGGGAAACCCAGTATACAATTAGGTCCTAGATCCTGATCTCTTCTAAACTGTATTATTTCATTGCAAACGGCAAGCAGTCTTACTACATGGCATTCAAAACAAACCACAGCTTTATCAAACCTATCCTTCAGGACTGCAGTAAATTCCAGCTCATTGGTACATAATCCAAGAGTGATGATGGATTAGACTGAATTACCATCTATATACATGGTTGTGAAATACACAAGTGTAAGGCTCTGTAAAATTACATATTTATTCTGCACTCCTGTTCACTGAGACTGTAGTTAGCTTTCAAACAGGTTAAAACAATAGCTTGATGCAGCATGTCCTGACACAATGAATACATGCCCTGGGCACCTGGCAGTCCCAGCATTTCCTCCCATTGAATTCAGTTTTCAAACCAAATAATTTTGTTAGGTCTGGCACCCAATCCTCATTAGCAAGGTAGAACCTGCTTCTCCGGCTAGCGCAGCAGAAGCTGCACTAATGACATCTCCGTCTGCCTCTAATTTTTTTTTTTCTGAACATAAAGCCAAAACAATTATCTGTTCTACAGGCTCCGAAAGATTCTCCAACACTGTGGGAAGATCTAGTTTCACATCCTATCCAAAGGAGGTCTGCATCTACACAGGACAGCATAACTGAAATTTCTGCACTGAAGTACAAAACAGTTTCTGTACCAATTGTAACTTAGCTTTCTGATATCCTTACTCTAGGTTTCTCTCTCTTGAACAATGCCATACACTGCGTAATTTAGAACCTGAAAACATGAACACAATAAGCTATTTTTTGTGTCTTAGAATGCAACTGTGCTGGAAGAAATCAGAAGAGATTCCTGTTTCCTGCACTGAGGATGGGAAACAGATGGAAAATTATGTCTCCTGCAACTCATCTGATCTGCTGGTCCACAGAATGAAAGCAAATTGTCCCTTAGTCTTCTGGAAGGCACATCTCAAGTAGCTGCTTATAAGTAACAACCCTTAAAATAAACCTAGAGAATTGAGCACTCAGGATTGGGTCAACTAGGAGCCTGAGAGTCATAGTGCAAGGGAATGTGCAATGTGTAAATTCTAAGTAGACTTACTGAAACAATAATGTAGAAGTTTCTCTACTCTCAGCTATCACTCAATACTGTAATTGCAGTATCTGAAGCAACGTATAATTATAATTATACAACCAAACTCTGAAGCTCTGCAAGGCCAAAATGCACAGGTTTTCCAATAAAAGAAACCAACTTATTTTTTAATATTATTCTTAATGTAATCACTAGAACTTGTTAAAGGAAACTGTATTCAACTGAAAGTTTAAGTTAATTTTTCATTCCTTTTAGATCTTGCTGACCATAAGTTTTTGCTTTGTGAAATGTCTGAGAAAGAATATTTTGCCTGAGTACAAGCATCCATTGTCTTATCTGATGTATTATCACACAAATAAGTGGGATCTGTCAGTCAGACTGTCAGAACTGAAGCATGAAATTCTTCAAATAACAGTTTTACCTCCCAAGTCTAAGATAGCGCTAACATCTAGAGTTTGAATCTTCTTTTACTAAACTACATTATTGATCAGATGTGTAAAGGTGGTGCAAGGTGAAAGCTATTAAATCTGTATCAGTGGTTAAGAGTCTCACCATCTCACAACAAACTCGTGGTGATCTAGAACTTGTGAATTATCACCTGGCATTATATTCAAATTATGATTAGGAGTCATCCCAAGGCCTGTTTTTCTCTGAATTAAGTTGCTGGGAATTAAATTGATTGTGCACACCCCTCCCCATTCATTGCAGTATTCCAAGCCACAAACAACCATAGTTTGAATCTGAATCAAATTTGCTCCACTGACTAGCTCTAGATGTATTTATTATCAATATATTTCAAATGTAGTCTTTATATATATTAAAAAAATAATAATAAAAAAAATTGGACAAGGTGCTGAGGATTCTGGGAATACAGAGCTTATATTTCCGGTGAAGTTTCTGATTTGACCCAAACCAGTTTTAAACACAGATATTTAATCTTGCACGGTTTAAAGTCAAATATTAATGGTTCTCTTTTACCCTATATTCCATGGAATCATTTATATACAGAACTGAAGAATGCTGAAATGACTATTTAACACTGAAAATGAAATTTGAGAAACTAAATTTGTAATCTGTTTGATCTTTCAAATTTTGTGAAGTACACAAGTAAAGCTAGATTTTATTTTCTATTTCACATGACAAGTCTGGGGTTACAGCATCTAGGAGTCTTCTAGAACAAAACCAGCATAACTGTAAATCAGCCTTGCATTTTAGTTATACCTAATCCCTTAATCATCACTGTGCTTGTGCTGCTTAAATAATGTTACATAGACTTTGGGTAAGATCTTCTAAGACACGAAAGGAATTATAATGTTCTATGACAATTCATGTAACTACCACTAAAATGCAAATATCTAAATTTTGCAAGAAGCTCCAGATTCCCATGTTACACCAAAGAGTGAGATAGGTATGCAAAACTACACCATTCCCCTACTATTATAAATATCTGATTTTAAATCCAGGCTTTATTTCCTCTTCTATTTCCCCAAAACACGTATCTAACATCACAAGTCATAATGTCTCCAAAAATCACAGAAAGGGCACCAAAAGAGAATAGAATCCTAAACTCAATTTTCATCCTGCTTGCAGAGAAGCCTATTTTTCCTTTGCTGAGGGACAGAGGTATTGAGCTGAACTTGAATACATCAAGTGTGTGGAAAAGCAAGGCCTGAAACAATCAGGTTAGACCAAAATTTTAAAAATTAAAACTAACACCCTTCCATGCTATATAAATACATTTGATAGAATCTCAGATGCAAGTTGTTTGCTGTATTACCATCTAAAAAAGATAAATACATCCCGCTTATTCAGACCCAGGGGGACAATCAGTTCCTGTAGATTAAGATTAGAGTCCTTGCTAGATTGTCATAGGAGTTAACATCTATTTTGTGGAACTGACTATGCTAGAAGAGATATGTACATAAACTGATACTCCAAAGTCACAGCAACTAGAATCTAAGAGATGAAAAACATATGGATGTGAATTACTGCCTTTTTTGTTAATCAGGCCATGGAAAGAAGCTTGTTTGCTCTGTTTATTATTCCAATGCATTTGGCACAACATTGCAATTGCTACACATCTATTATAATTTCTCTTCATCTGGAAGGAATGAATCTTCTAATTCATAATAACTTATTGTTTGTTTAAGATTGAGAAATGTGAAGTCATATGCGAACAGCTACGCTGACTAAGCACTTAGTATCAAGTTAAAAATAACCACCAATCTGATTAAAGGAAAGAGGAGGGAAAAGCATGGAATAGTTGCTGCATATTCTTAAATCTTTCCAAAAATATAAAGAAACTCCACCAAACAAGAAAAAAAAAAAAAAAAAAAAAAAAAAAAAAAAGAAAAAAAAACCAAAAAAAAAAAAAAAAAAAAAAAAAAGAAAAAAACCCACACCCCTTCCCCAGCCACAGATTTCAATAAAAGTGCACAATGCTTTTTTGAGGCAGAAGTCCAAGAAATTGCATATAAAAGCTACTTCAAGAACACTGTAAAAACGTTTTGCTCTCTATTCCTGGCAAGATGCTCCAGATGAGCTTTGACTGCTCTGTTGCAGTCAAACTTTATGTATCCATATTAAGGACAGAAAATAAAGGAGGGGGGAAGGGAGAAGAAAAAAAAAAAAAAGAAAAAAAAAAAAGGAAATTTTAATAAGCATGTGGCAACATAACAGAACTGCAGGGAAAGTACAGGCATTGAGAAAATGCTCTCAGAAATAAACCATCCTAACCGCAAAGGGGATGAGACCACCCCCCGGGACAGGGCTTATGTAGCCAAACGCTGCCCGTGACAAGCCAAGAGGTGGCGCTGTTTCCCCTAACATGACAGTGAGGTGCTGTCCTGCCGGGGCTGAACACCAGGGCGCAGGGAAAGGCTGCTCCCGTCAGAGAGAGGACCTACAGTTAATAATACATCGTCAACGAGCAATGCGAGGAGTCTAGAGCAGGAACTTCAATCTCTGGTTATTCTGTAATGTCTGAACGAAACAGAACTCGCTGAAGTTTCACAGGCAAATTCTGGCAAAATTGGTCTATCTACACATCATTAATACAAAACAGCACAGATCTCAAGAGGTAAAGCCAGAAATAAAAAAGGAGTAAGTGTCATTTTCCTCTCAACATTAACTATTAAAATAAGTAGTACACAGTGAAAAGAAAAAAAATTCAGGAATTCCATAACCCTTAACACTTCATTGCACCAGGGAGTCCTTATTCTGTTATCTGATGACGATCTGTTATGTACCACTCTTCAGAAATGTCTAAAACTCTTATAATTCTAAGGTTAAATTTTTCAACCCTAAGGCTACTGTACTTAGACTATATTAAGTTGTTCATTATTAATATTTTCAGAATTTAAATTAATTTTAATTTCTACATCCATACAACAAATTCTCTTAATGACCTACTCAGGTTTTTCATGTGATGCTTTAAAATAAAGCTCTATTAATTTTTATATTTGACATAAAGCTACACCCTCAAGGATCCACTAACTTCAGAACACTAAGGTTCACATTAGTAAGATGTCAAAAGCCTGAGGTTTCAACTGAATCTGAATGAAAATTTATATAGTTTGAATATTAAAAAAAAAACCCAACACCTTCTTTAAACCCTAAAACTGGAAATAAATCGTATTTCTTTTATAGACAACCAGAATTTAGTTGTCTAGACTTCTTACGAATGAAAACCTGCATTTCTGA